TGAAATAAATATATTTATTTAAAGAAATCAGAGGATCAGTGTGTCCTTTCAGCTCCGGTCACACTGACCAGGAATATTTTTTAAATTAACAAGGATTTCATAAGCAATCTGTAAATATTTTATCTTCCAAGGTAAATTACAGCTAAATGTGAACAATTAAAAGCTGCAAGATTCTTAGCGGCAAAGCAGGGGGAAAGAGAGTGCAGGTCAGCTAGAACTTTTGCATTTCCTAAGGAGCAAAACACAAAATGCAGCCAGGTATTGAGCTGATGTAGGCTTGCAGCCAGCTCCATCACCGAACGACTCCGCCAGCCCAGAGACACATTCACACAGGGGCTCTGTTCTAGAAATGTCGGGGCCATGGAGGCAGGTGGACCTGGGCAAAACACACTTGTCCTTTTTGAGTATGGTAAGAGATTGATAGCCGCCAAAAGGGAGGAATGAGCTCTGATGTTACACAGTCTTCCAAAGTGAGCTGGGAAGCAAATGAACCAGAAAAGGCAAGAAAAATGCACAGTGGCCGCTGAAGTTGAAGGGTATTTCTGAGAGGGTAACTTCAGGCAATGCAATAAACCATCTAACTGTAATTAAACATCTAAAACAAACTAGTTATTCAGTCACTTTATTTCTGTAAAGCCACCTCGGGTCGTACAACCTCTATTTTGGGAACGGTGAAAATACTACATTTTGCAGGGGGGCCATTAGCAAGAAACGTCTCCTTTATCGTGATTATCAATCTATTATTACGGTCAAAGGAACGAGCATGTTTTGTGCCTCAGGTGAAAAGTTTTTCACTGTGGTGCTGGCAAGCTCTTCCATACAGAATCACAGAACATTCGGGGTTGGAAGGGACCTCAGAAGATCATCTCCTCCAGCCTCCCGGCCAGAGCAGGATCACCTACAGCAGGTCACACGGGAAGGTGCTCAGGCAGGTTTTGAATGTCTCCAGAGAAGCAGAATCCACAACCTCCCTGGGCAGCCTGTGCCAGGGCTCTGTCACCCTCACAGGGAAAAAGTTTTTTCTAATATTTTTGTGGAATACATACAACTGTAACTAATTTCTCATTACTGAACATTTCTTTAAAACAAACGTATCTGTTATGCATTCCAGTTAGTTTTAAGTCTTCTACAACTCAAAACTTGAAGAAAAAATGTGTACCCTGTCAGCGTGAAAACTACAACACAATTATAATATGGGATTTCTTTTTTTCTTTTTTTAATTACAGTGCAATTTTGCTGGCCTTAATAGTGTCTGAAAGCATTATATAAATCATCAGAAAACTTGAGTATTTCCTTTGGGATCAGTTTTTGGATCCAGCTATATCAACCTTTCTTGTCATCTATTTCTCTTGCTAATTAGATGGGGGGTGGAAGGGAAGAAAGTAAAAGCAAGATATATCTTACATGTCTTCACACAAAAAAGCTTTGTGGGAACTGCAAAATAAAAAAGCAGCACAAGTAGTAGCTAAGCTAATTCAACATGCACAGTGTTGCTATTACCCTGTAAATACTCCCATTTCCTTTCAAGAATAAGCTGTTTAGTGATACTATCTCAGGGATTTATTAGAGTCATCTTGATCCAGTTGAAGTGTACATAGAATAATCCCTGAGAAAAAGCTAGGATATGGTCTAGTTTTCTTTTTTTCTTTTTAAACGTGCATGAATTTTTTATCTGCTCAACCGAAATATAGCAAGTCTGCAGAAGCTGGCGAAAGCTGTTCTTCAAATTAGGAAGTAGGCTGCTTTGTAGGGAGAAGGTTGTCTCAAGTAAAGTTTTCATTTATTAATTTTTTGCTACATAGTCAATTTTGCAAAAGCTATATTGTACCATCCTCAAACACTGGGATGAAAGGGGAAAATAATAACAGTTGTAATCTAATCCTGTGAAGTTCTCATACCTAATCAGACTGCAAAAGCAGTCTCTCATCACGTAGGCTGAAAAAGCAACAACACATACTATCACTGAAGATTTTGTGAAATAAAACACCACAATTTAAGAGAACCACTCATCTTTTCAGTACCACACCGAAGGAGCCAACAATAACCATATGCTGATCAGCCACTGGTAGTCAACACTGCCTGTTCCCTCCTACGTCAGCCACTCGCTCCATTATCTCCCAAACATCCCTGTGTGTGGTGACACACCTGTGTGACATTCCTGCCAGCAGCCTCCCCCTTTGCTCTTCAACAGAAAGATCCTGAAGTTGTGTCCAGCACAGCGAAGTATCACATACTACAAACCATACCATCGGCGGTGCTCATGCCATTACTAGCAGTAGCCCCAGATGTGAAAGCTTCCCGATCACTGCATGTGGAGCAATCCAAAAACTTCAGCATGATTTCTGTCTTTACAGGGACAGAACTGAATCTCTATCCCCCCAGACTTCCAGACGAGGTCTAAGTGGTCAGCTCAGCACTCAACTGCATAAACACTTCCAGTACAGCTGCTTCTTCCACTGAAGCATTCAAAGGGATTTCCACTTCGATAAAAGATGGGTTTCAGAATGCTAAAGCAAAAAACCAGCACAAATGTTTTTAGTTGCTAATCATTCAACAGGCACAAACAAAAGATTAAATGGGTAAATTTCCTTCTTCAAAGACATTATTATCGCCCCAAAATCCCCAAGCTGTCTAGCAAAAAAGTCCAACTTAAGTGAACGCACTGAAGTGCTCCAGCCCAGCAGCCGCCAGCACACCTCAAATTCACTCAGGACAGCAGCAGCCCCTAGCGGCACCCTGCGACTGCCCAGCTTCGCGCCTACACACCTGGAGGAACCTACTTGCTTGAAAATAAGAATCCTACACGTAAAGTACTATTCTCCCACTTAATTGCCAATATGTTAAAATTTTCACTTGACATCTTTAAGTAATTCTTTTTTTGCATCTGTATATTTTTCTTCCCTAAAGTTCAGGCAAGAACTGTCCAACACCTTCTGGAGGAAGCGTAAGCCCGAGAGTGACTGGCCATGGCTAAATCCTTTTGGCAGATGACATGACTACGATCACCCATTTATTGAGAGGAAACTGGAGAAAATGATAAAAAATACGTTATTTGTATTGTCTTTCCAACCTGTCTACCTATACAGCAGAAAACTGACCAATAATACCGTTATATAGACTCCTGCTTCCTTAAAGGTACTACGTGAGAACTGTACTACAGGTATCCTCTGCAGTTCACATCAGCTCCTACTCCATCTTACAACATAATGCAGGGTACAGAACTGATCAGCAGAAACTGCTGTTTTCTGTCCTAGCTTCTTGGAGGACTCCAGTTTCTTCTCTTTCCTATGTTATTCTGCTGCTATTTTTCCAAGTAGTCCAATTTCGAAGATAACAGACAGAGCATCAATGTATTTTCAGTGAAGGATTCCAAGCTTCAGAGTTAATTTCCGTCTTACAACCTGAGAAATGCAGTTCTGGGTATCTTCCAAAAGGCCAATTACACGAGGATCCAAGCGATACACGTGCATTCAGATGCATGAAAATCCAACAAGAGAGTAGATGAATTTGCAACGGGCAAGGAAAAGTGCACGCTTTGAGTCAGGCAAAGGAGACTTTGAAAATCGTACCTCTACCTGGCTATTCTGATTACATTATAAAAAAAATAATTTCCCAAAGGCTACACCAAAAAGATTCTGGAGTTAACTAAACAGAAAAACAAAATACAAAACCAGCATCAAATTTCTCAACACAGTTTACAGCCCGACAAGCATGATAGTTTAAAGTTCAGTACACACAAACCACAGAACCAGGATTTCTTATAATTACACATTTATTGTTCACATTTGAAATAATTGGGTTCTTGACTGAACCACTGAAAGTCCCAATGCATTTGTAAACTGAGCATCACTATAAAACAAACTTAAAACACCATGTAAAATAATATCACGTACGCATGTGTTTCACTTCATGGTTTCTCAGCATTATCACTTTGTCTATTTACAAATATATAAAGATTTTGCACTTTAAGTCATCTGAAATATCAAAGAGGTATTTTCAAATCACACAATAAATATAGAACCTGTTTGTTAAAAATCTACACTATACTGTACATTCAAGTTGAGGCAAAATAAGTTTTAATGCCAGTTACACTTGAGACAAATGACTGTTTCCAATAACTGAACAATTTCTAAAAGTGCTCTCTCTGCCTGTGAGGAAAGGTAATGTTAGGATCCAGTATTTCATTACAGTCAAAAGTTTCAGACCATTGCTTCCTTCACAGAATCAGAGCTTCTGTACTAGAAAAATATCAAAGCTTTTATATATTTTTAAATTATCTTCTTTCAAGAGTCGCAAGAAGAGGCAGAAAATGGTCTAAAAAATAAAAGCCATGTGCACGCACATACATACACACACCACAATTCAGATCACCACATAACCTTCTAAAAGAATAATCAAAC